CCACACTCTCAACAACCTTCGCCACAAAGCGTAGGTTGGAGACTGGGCGATAATTTGCCAATACATCTGGATCCAGGGAGGGCTTCTTAAGGAGGGGCCTCACCACCGCCTCCTTTAGGACCGCGGGGAAGGCACCCTCCCGTAAAGAAGCATTTGTAATTCCCTGGAGCCAGGCTCGTGTTCCCTCCCGAGCCGCCAGCATTTCCATAATGCTGTCTGCCAGGCCACAGGCCTGTGATTTACTCAGGACAAGTAATAGCTTGGATACTAATAGACTTTGCATTTTCAAAAGTAATGGAAATAACTATTTTGATTTGTTCCTGAAAGCTAGGTGCAAATTGACACCCATAACACTTAACACACTCCCTTGGAGTGCAAATCAGGCAATGTTTTTATTCACCTGTGTCATACACTGCAATTAAGAAAGTTTACAGAGAGCAAATTATTGCTTCTCATGAAGAGCAATGAATCTGCGCCGCCCCCCCCCCCCCGGAAAATATTTCTGAATAAACCAGAATTCCCAGCAACCAAGCATACACCAAGTAAAATTGTTTCAAAAGAGAAATAACATATCTCTCCATCTGTGTAAAAGTTTTTAACTTTTTACAGCCTCTTTTTCGTAATCAAAAAGCTTTTTATCTTGTTTCTAGTCATGTGTGTATATTATCCATTGCAAGATGTGTAACTTATTTAGTACCCATCCTTTGTTAGCAATCGTGAATATCGCAACCTACCATAAAAAAAATGTAAAAGGAAAAAAATAATCTATTATATCAATGACTAACCTGAAGACTGTTCTTTTACCAAACCATTCTTATTTCTTTCTTCCCAATCCATTACTTCCTTATATATTAACTCTGCACATAAAGAAGAGAATAAATATGGACATAAGACACAATAATACACTTGTTGCTTTCACTGCCTTTCATAATCTTGAAATGTTTAAAACAGTCTTTAACAAGATCTTCATTGTTCTCATGACATCATCATCATTTTAGCCATTGTCTATCCATTGCAGAATGAAGACCTCTTCTGCATGTGTCCAACCTATATGGTCCTGAGCTTTCTTTTGCCAATTGGGCCCGCAATACTTGCTGAATATATATATATATGAACATTACAGACCAAAATGAACAAATAGTCAAAAACATCCCTTGAATCTGCTACATCTATAGCACCACCAGAAAAACACTTTGTACAGTCAAAAATCTCTGGTGAAAGTATTGATTTAATGGAAAAACGACAGAGAATGAAGATTACCAGAAGTTTCACTAATAAACTGGAGTATATTGAACTTTGCAAGACCATAAGAAAATGTATCCAAGAAAAAACACATCATTTTAACATGAAGCTTGTGAAAAAGGCAATTGAAGAAAACAAAGGGATTAATAGAGCAAAATGCAAGCTTATAAATATAAGACAGAAGGTTTTTGCATTAAAACGTGAAGATGGCTCTGTGTGTAGAACAAGACAGGAAATTTTAGAAATAATTAGAAAATTCCATTTAGAGCTATACAAATATCAAGATCACTCAAAAGTAACAACACTCACAAAAGAGGAAATGCCAGATATACTAGTGGAAGAAGTACCAAGTGCCATAAAATCAATGAAAAATGGCAAAGCTTCAGGAAATTATTGTGTTATGGTTGAAATGCTGAAGATACGAGCTGAAGATACACAAGATACTAGCAAAACTATATTTGAGATGCCTTAGAGAAGAAAAAATACCCAATGCATCGAAAAATGCTAAAGTGATTCTTATACACAAGAAAGGGGTCCAAGATGATTTAAAGAACTATCACCCAATAAGCCTTCTTTCACTCCTCTACAAGGTTTTCACCAAGATAATAGCAAAAAGAATATTGAGAACATTAAATGATGCACAGCCAAAGACCAAGCAGTGTTCAGAAGTGGCTACAGCACAATGGATCATATCCAGATTGTTCAGCAAATCATTGAAAGGCACGAGTACACCATGCCTCTGTGCATTGACTACGAAAAGGTATTTGACTCAGTATTCCAGCAAGCAATAATTAATGCATTGCTCAACCAAGGCGTAGACACTGCTTACATAAATTTACTACGATCAATATATTAAAAAAACAATGACAATTTGCCTTAATGATCTTAAAGTGGAAATCAACATAGAACAAGGTGTATGACAAGGAAATACAATATCATCTATCCTTTTCTCAGCCTGCCTTGAAGAGGTATTTCACAAACAAGACTGGGCAAAAGATGGAATAAAAATCAATGGTACCTACAGTATTTAAATCACTTAAGATTTGCAGATGATGTTGTTCTCTTCTCACAAGACCCAGAAGAGCTACAAATATACCTACAAGAGCTGCACAAAGCGTGAGAACCATTTGGCTTAAAAACAAACCTGAAAAGGAGCCAGGATATGTTTAATAAATTCACTAAAGAAAGAATTTTTTTTATATATCTGGACAAGAACTAGATGTAGTACACCACTACCTATACCTTGACCAATAGCTCTCAATGGAAGGTGATGTAGTAAAAAAAATTGAACAGTGTATTAAATGTGATTGGCAGGCATTCAGGAAGCTAAGCATAATTTTCAAAAACAACCTCCCCCTCTGCCTGAAAAGTTTTCGATCAGTGTGTGCGACCTGCTCTAACATATATGCCAGTGAAACACGGACACTAACCTCGCTATCGATACAAAAGCTATGAGTGGCACAAAGAGCCGTGGAAAGATACACGTTCGGCATTACAAGAAAAGACAGAAAGACCTGCACATGGATTAGAGAATAAACGAAAGTATACGATGCCATCAAGAGAGTAAAAGAATTGAAATGGAAATGATCACCTAGCAAGAATAACTGATGGCAGGTGGAGCAAGGCAGTCATAGAATGGGTCCCAGTTGATAAAAAGTGTCCACGAAAGAGACCTAAAACAAGATGGATTAAGGACATCAGCAAGTATTGGCAAAAGAAAGCTCAGGACCGTATTGGTTGGAAACATATGGAAGAGGCCTTCCTTCTGCAGAGAGAGAGAGGGGGGGAGGTAGGGAGGGAGGGAGAGGGAGGGGGAGAGGGAGAGAGAGGGAGGGAGAGGGAGGGAAAGGGAGAGGAAGGGAGAGGGAGAGGGAGGGAGAGGGGGAGAGAGAGAGGGAGGGAGGGGGAAAGAGAGAGGGAGAGAGAGGGGGGAGAGGGGGAGGGAGGGGGAGGGAGAGGAAGGGAGGGAGAGAGAGAGGGAGGGAAAGGGAGGGAAAGGGAGGGAGAGAGAGAGAGAGAGAGCATATGTTCTTAGAAGCTAAATGATTAGTCGCTTTGCAATACCAAAGCTGAAGACCTGCATCCACTTAGGCTTACTTTGAATAATCCCTTAAGAAAATTTGACAGCATATAATAAAGTAGTTATTTTTAATTCATTTTTAGATACTGCTGAGAATACTTTTCAGTATTGCCAAGAGAAGAAGAATGATACAATAAAATCAGAGTAAGTTTTGCTTGGACAAAATCTTTAAGGTTCTAAATTTTATTGCAGATGAAAATGTTTTTATTATTGATGATGAAAACAACATGACATTTAAATTAAAACAACCCAATTTTAAATATCAACATTGATACTTAGTAGAATATAAATTTGCTTAGCAGGAACATGCACTATGATTTATGCAAAAGGGTATATTCACTTTATCTCTATTCCAGTTCCTTATGGGATACCCGCAAAATATTTTATCAAAGTTTCTGAACATATTGCAAATTTTACTTACCTTTCCATTCTTCAATGGCATGTTCTCTTTCTTCCAACTGTGCATCATAGATTTGGGGAGGTGGCTATAAACAAAGAAACAGTGCTACTTTATCTTTCGATAAATACAGCTGTAAATATTACAGTTAAAAATGAAACCATTGCTTATGGAGCTAGGAACAGTATTTTGGTGCACTCTTGAGGTGGTGGTAGTGATTGTGATGATGATATGCCTGTATGTTGTCATCTGAACTGGAATCTATTAAGTTTTCAAGTCCAATTCAAGTGTTGGAATTAATATTTTTTTATATAGACCCAAAGACTACCTATAAATGCCCTATACGCAGAATCCTTACTAAATGACTTATCAATGACTTACCAAGCTGAAATGCAAGAGTCATCTATTCTGATTGGTCTTTGCAATATTAAAATCTTTTAGTGAATTTTAAATTATTACTTTTAAGTTTTTAAGAAGAGACTGGACAGCCATTTGTCTGAAATGGTATAAGGTTTCCTGCCTGAGCAGGGGGTTGGACTAGATGACCTCCAAGATCCATTATCATCATCATCATCATCATCATCATCATCACCATCACCATCATCATTTTATTATTATGCTATCTTCAGATGATTTATTTCTTCCTTATATGTTATGTAAATTATAGTAAAATGTTAAATTCATGAAAAAACAAGGCAATATTTGTTACTGAGTGTTATATACATAAAAATAAAAAGACCTTAAGGTGTACTTACTGCTTCTGCTTCAGCTGGGTCATACCAAACTGTGATATATGGATGTCGCAAAGCTTCATCTACTGAAATTCGTTTGTCTGGATCTACTACTAGCATTTTTGATAGTAAATCTCTAGCTTGACTCGCTAGAAAACAGGAATAGAAAAAATGTCTTGCAATTAAAATTTTGATTCACAAAGATAAAATTCTCTCTATCTATCTATCGTGTTAAAGGCATTTCATTGTTAAAGATAATTTATTCTTTTGTTTGTTTATTAATATCAGGTACTAAGTAGTATCAGAACTTGGGATATTCACTATATTAGATGATGAAACTGATAGGAGCACTACTTGTAAATATAATCAGACAATTAAAAACAGATACCCACAATTTCTTACATTAGAGACAGTATTAAGAATATGTATAGAACAGAATAAAAACTTTATTGCCACTGTAAATGTACACTAATCAGCATACATTAAAATTAAATTTCATTGCATTCAGCTCTCAAAAAACACCATTATGCATATATCCAAATACACACATATATATGACACAGAGAAACATTATAGTCTAGTTCAAATGTATACATATACATGGCAAAAAAAAGAATCCTGCAAATTTACAAGACGGATGGCATAAGGAACACAGATGTTATTAGAATCTGGTAGTCCTGCTGGAAATACTTCGAAACCTCCTCCCAGAGGGGAAACAGACCGTGAAGTGGTTGTGTGGGGTCTCTAACAATGCTTCAAGCTCTAAGCACATAGCGCTTACAAGCAGTCTCCTGAATAAAGGGAAGCGAGCTTCCTATGACCTTCTCAGCTGTCCTTACCACTCGCTGTATGGACCTTCTATCTGAGGCACTGCTGCCACCAAACCAGACAGTGATGCATTTTGTTAAAACGCTCTCAATCGTGCCTTTATAAAAAGTGGCCAGGGCAGAAGATGTGCTCTCCTCATCCGAAGCAAGAAATGCAAATGCTGGTTTGCACGCTTCACTAAGGATAATGTATGAAGAGACCAAGTCAGATTGTTAGTTATCTGAACCCACAGGCACTTAATACTATTGACCACTTCCACAGCTGCAGCCTTGATACAAGGTGGAGTATGACTCTGCTGGTTCTTTCTAAAATCATCAACAACAACAACAACAACAATAATAATAAAGTTGGAAGGGACCTTGGAGGTCATCAAGTCCAACCCCCTGCTCAGGCAGGAAACCCTACACCGTTTCGGACAAATGGCTGTCCAGTCTCTTCTTAAAAACTTCCAGTGTTGGAGCAATCACCGCTTCTGGAGGCAGGTTATTCCATTGGTTAATTGTTCTAACTGTCAGGAAGTTTCTCCTTAGTTCTAGGTTGCTTCTCTCTTTGGTTAGTTTCCACCAGTTGCTTCTTGTCCTGCCTTCAGGCGCTTGGGAAAATAGCTTGACTCCCTCTTCTTTATGGCAGCCCCTGAGATATTGGAACACTGCTATCATGTCCCCCCTCATCCTTCTCTTCATTAAACTAGACAAACCCAATTCCAGCAGCCGTTCCTTATATGCTTTAGCCTCCAGTCCCCTAATCATCTTTGTTGCTCTTCTCTGTACTCTTTCTAGAGTCTCAACATCTTTTTTACATCGTGGTGACCAAAACTGGATGCAGTATTCCAAGTGTGGCCTTACCAAGGCATTGTAAAGTGGTATTACTACTTCACGTGATCTAAAACCAGGTTATTTTTATTTTTATGTATCAACTAGAATAAGTATTGTACTTTTCTTCAACAGTTAAACTATCTTTCAAAATGCTGAATTTTAAAGTTTGATCCTGGAGCTTGGTATCTAAATTTCCATAGATTAAATTACTTCACTGGAATCTCAGGCTGATTCAGTTGGAAAAATGAAATAATAAATCAACAAGTTAGCACGATAGATTCTGACTGTAACCTGACAAATACAATTTCTACAAAATTGTAGCAAAACGAAACAAAAATCCTAGATCTTTACTAAACTTATACACATACACTTACTTTTTAGCTTATCACGATCAGACTCTGATGGAAATATCCAGTCTGGGAACAGTTCTTCAAATTTGATACCTGGATATTTCGGCCTGTTTTCTACATAATTCCGTACAGTGGGCTGTAGTTTTTTCATGAAATCTGCTGACGGTGTACCTAATTGTTCAATAACTTTATTCCACTGATCAATATCTGCAAAATTTTTCATTTAGGAAAATAACATTTTTTCCCTCCAACTTTATATTGCAAGTATGTGGAACTTTGGAAAACTTAAGTGCTATTTTAAACAACATCTTTATTTTACAAAACAGGTTCTTACAGAAATTGTGGTTAAAAAACAAAACAAAATCTCAAGACCATTAATTTGAATGAACAAAGTTCACAAGACTGACTGGATAATGCTGCTAAAATTTATAGGGTATATGTAGGCTTGTTTTTAGCTTCTGCTTCACTCTGAACCCTTTCTCTTCAATATGATTTCATGATATCTTGAATATTTTTTTAAAAGCCTGAAAATCAAATAGTTAAAGCACATTGACCACCAGGTGGCAGTAAGTGACCAGTTTCATCCTTAGTGGGAACTGTCAGATATAAGCAATGCAGATCTTATTTTATGGGATTCAAACCTTCTACTTGGTTCAGAATTCATAGCCCATTGCACTTTAGATGACTGTATACAAAGCATTAGTTTTAAAAGCTATCCAGGTCCTATTGCTTAGTAGCATTTCAGAAAGAGATTGGTAGCTGTATAAATAAGCTAGAAAACTAGAAAGCTTAGAGAGCTAGACAGGCAAAAATATAGACTCTGTCGGAAGGGCATATAAGATCCACCTTCTCTGTAGCTCTATTATTTATAGAGTAAGATCTAGCTACATACAACTGAAGATTCACAGTAAGAATGAAACCAATTATATAGTGCCTCCTGGTAGTTAATATATTTCATATACTGTACACCCTGTTTGCCTCTAGCTACCCTAATCATGTGACAATTTGCATAAGCATGAGATTGTCAGCTGAATTAATATATTACATAGAAGATTCAAAATGAAGCTTCCTTCTTTGACACACAGTCAAAAAGTTCTCTTTGGGGGGAGACAGGTGGCTATATAAATTTTATATACAAAATTTAATACTATAAAATATCAAAACAATCAGATAGTAAATTGTGCAAATAAAGCCAGTTATTGATCTGTATAAGTAAATATTTTTATTAAAGGATTCCATCAGTCTGGAGCAAAAAAAGTGTTTGTGTGTCTGTGTGCATAAACCTATTTAAAATATTAATACAATGATTCTTTATTTTCTTGGCTTTACTCAAGAGTATAAAACAACAGTCTGTACAATGATCAATATGATCATAGATACTCACCACTAACATAATTACATCAGATTCTGAAAGGAATCAATAGGACAGATAAAGAAATCACTACATCAACCTGACAACCAAACAGGAAAAAAGTACTTAGAAAATATATTGAAGAAGCATGGCTGCAGAGCAAGACATATAAAGGAGGGGAAAACAAACCCAATATAAAGATAAGAATTTTCAACATAAATATGGAAGGAAATTGTTGCACATTTCAAAAGTAATGCTATTTTTTTTAAAAAAACTGTGCCTTTCATGCTGGAGATATGACGTTATCAACATGATCTTTCTGAGTTTTTATATTCCATCCACTGATGAGACTAATCTCATGGCTTGCTCTCTATGAATTCAAGTTTTTATACTTCTGAAGAACATCAGATTAGGGAATTAATAGCACAGTTAAAGTTAAAATGTAGATTCTCCTAGATGTTAGGAAGGGGAAAGGGCACAAATCTGAAGATGAGATTTGTAGCAATAGGCTTCCTAGGGCAATATACATCAATATAAATCCCCCCTCCCCCCGCTGCCAAATATAACAAAGGCAAAAAAAAAATCAATCACATCTCACTGCATCACTAGTCCTCCAGGTCAAGAATGTCATCCACTCTTGACCTAAAACATTAATATGTGAAGACTACTGCTTTCTCTGGATCTGTTCCTTTTCAATCATAAACAGAAACTACACTTCTGAAGAAACTGCAATTATTTCTGCAACTTATGTTCAACCCAATGCAACTTCAGTAACAAAAAGTAACAACAAGGATACCAGGTTGGCAAGATTCTCATAACTTAAGATATATTTATTGCAAAGGGTTTTACTAAGCATGAAAGACACATATATGAAGACAGCAAATATGAAAATCAGCATTAACATGAAATCCACAGGAGACACAGCATTCATGAAGAATTGTGTTAGGTTGGTCATAAGGCTTTAGAGAATAAAAGAATACAGAGGAGAAATTCAAAAAAATGAAAATCAAGCTTCCTCTCTTTTATTGTGTCAATAGGTTAATACATAATCAACCATTAAAATACCTAAAATTAAGCATTTGTAATTATACTTTTCTAACCTTCATGCCTTCTTTAGGTATGTAGCAGAATAAGAAGTGACAAGATAAAACCATAGTTGAATCCATTTCCATCATACAGAAAAATGAAAAAAAAAAGCAATCGGTTTAAATTTTGAGCAACAGTTTGCAGAATTTTCAGTTTAAATAAATGTGTTGCGTTATTAAAACTGCAAAAATATAAAACTCCTGTAATGGACAATTAATGTTCAAAAATTAAAGTTAATGCAATTAATATGAGAATAAAAGTTTAGCTGTTTTATTGAAACAACAAATTTCACAAATTTGGTTCATACAAGAAAGAACTGTTCCACTGAGTATATGGGATTAGCATCTTTTATACCCATAAATCAAATAACGTGTTGCTAAATATGAATTAGGATTCAAAGATTATTAGGGAAGGATACGATCAGTGCCTTGGAATATCACACAACCTTTCACCAATTCTCCCATGATGCAACCAACTGACCAGATATCAACTGAAAGTAAAAGTGAAATGATAAAAATTATGAAGTGTTATGAACTAAAGCAGAAAACGAAAAAACATTTTTACATTTAAAACATAACAATGCATAAAGTAAAACAGCTAACATGTTTTGAAACAATATGGACAGGAATAATGATCTAATTACAAATTTAAAATACCAGAACACCATTAAAAGTAAATTTTGTGTATACCCGTATATATATAAAACGGGCATACAAGAAATTTGCTTTACACATACACACGCATACACAGCACACAACACACACACATACATGTCAGTCTTATTTTGAATAATCTGAACTCCCTGAAAGAGCTGCAAAGGATACAATCTCTTCCAGGAAACAGGACCTTATGGAGAACCATTTCGGCCATTATGCACCCAACAGACCAGATATCCACTATTAAATGTTAAGTGTAATGGGGATAAAATTAAACATTTTTTAAAACTCTATACATATATTTTCATAAAATAATTGTATTGTAAAGGAGTCATTGACAAATGTACTGTATATATTCGTGAATAAGCCAAGAATTTTAAATGCCAAAATACACCCAAAGGATTGAGTTTGGCTCACCCACAAATGGGCTTTTCTGCAAATATATATGGTAATGCTTTTTAAAAGTACCCACATATCCTATATAATTCTACCGATAAAGCCAACCATGGATAAGCTGTATTTTCAACCAAAATACCGTGAAAGATGCACCCATCTGTGGATAAGCCAATTGTGAAAATTAAAAAACACTTGGCTTATTCACAAGTGGCACTTTTTACCATTAACATTCCAATTTAGTAATTCAGAAAATCAATTTTATCATTAGCTTTCATTCTGTACTCATGAAGATACTGCAGAAGGTTTCTGTCAACTAACATGTGTACAATAATCAAGGATAGAAGTACCACTTTTACTGTAAGCAATCCGCAGGTACTTCCCAGAAAGTGCTGAGAACTAAAGTTGCATAATTGAGCAGCTGGGTCAAGTGTGGAACTGCTACTGGCCAAAACATTATCTCCTGTTACTAAAGCTACTTCCTGCACTAGGCCAAAGCATGAAATCCTCTTCATTCCAGGGGGCTATTTAGTATCAATGGCTGAGTTGTCTCACTTGCTGTTATGTTATGCCATCTCCATCTTCAAAAGAAAGACTCCTTCTCTGAACAAGCCTAGCCAAACTGACCCAGGTAATTACCTCACAGGGCAAGAAAACTAAGTTACAGTCTGAAACTAGTAGGCTTATGCAGTGCTTTTTTTCTAAAAAAAAAAAAAAAAAAAAAAAGTGTCGGAACTCACACACGTCATACAACCCACCTTGCCTACCCTACAAGGTTCCATCCAAAAAAGGTGCCGGAACTCCGTTCTGGGCGTTCTATGAGAAAAAAAGCCCTGGGCTTATGGTGAGACAGTGAAAAACCAGAAAAATCTAACTATTGATCAAGAACTCCAAACATGTCACTTCTAGCCTGTAACTTACCATTCTCTTTGTATCCCATGCCAAGAATAACTTCTGGTGCTCTATAATATCGTGTTACTACATATGGGGTCATCATGAAATTAGTACATGCTGTTCTTGCAAGTCCAAAGTCAAGGATTTTGAGAGTACAATCTGATTTTACTACTATATTGCTGGGTTTTAAATCCTAAGGACAAAAAAATGCATTCAGTTAAATGCTGAAAAAGTAGTGTAATCCTTAAAAGTCAGCACATTGTGCCAAATTATTAATCTGCCATACATGACAAGCAAAACCTATTGATCAATTAATCACATTGAACAGATGATGAAAGATGTCATGGATGCTTTCCAGCTGACTGAACATTCCAATGAATCCTGCTCTCAGTTACCTCTATGCAAAAAGTTATTTGGAACTGAAACTTTAATCCCATTTTGCCTTAGCAGTGGCATATTTTCGACAGCTGGAAAAGTGCTTACACTTCTTTGTAAATGTATCTGGTGCTTAATGTTTACTAATAATACTGACAGCGTAGCCCACATTGAGGAACTCCCCAAGTGAACACATTATTTTAAAAATAAATGTAAAAATAAGTGGAACATCCAGGTAGGCTATACAATCTTAAATTATTAAGCCTAATTCTGAATAAAATGACAGGTAACAGCTAAGAACATGAAGTATTGGGTAGAGGCTAATTTGAAGGGGAAAAAAAGACATTCTCTAAATTTCATCTTAAGAATTGGATGCCTTCAGAGAGATGGCTCCTACACCTCTACAATCAAAAGACACCACCATCTTTTTCTAATTAGTGGATTCCCCTTTTCTGGAAGGAAAAAAAAGGAACTTATGGTGAAAAAATATAGAGAGAGGTTACGGCAAATCAAACACAACATTTAGCTATTGGTACATTTCTGTAAGGCATGGTGATTTCATAATATTAGCATTATAAGCATACAACCATTATGAATTTCAATGCAGGTATCTAATAATATGTTTAAATTTCAAATATTTCCACTCTAGGGACGTAACAGGAGGATGGATATATGTGACAATTAATGGACACAAGGTGGTGCTGCTTGCCATGAAGAAGGAGAAAACAATGCAGACTCTCCTCAAGAAGCAAATAATTTGACTCTTATTATATATTTTAATATTACTCCTATAAGCTGTTGAGAGCCACATTTGGTTGGAGTGGAACAGAATAAATAAATTGTGCAAAATACCTGTGCATTCTTCACCCTGATGTCAAAATCCACAGATGAGTATCAAAGCAACAATATAGCTCTAAAGAAATCTTACCCACTTATATATTTTGATAAAACCATGGCAGATAAGATTCTTAGTAACAGTGCATCTAAGTAATCCATGAAAAGTAAGGTCATTTTTATACACTTTTATTTTTTTGCACGGGAATATAAAATGATCTAGAGAAAGATTTTTAGAAGATATAGTCACAACAATGCAAAATAAAAGTCAATTAATAGTGTGATTATAACAGCACTACCTACTCTGTGGATGATACCAGCTGAATGAAGATGTTTGATCCCACACAACATCTGATATAAAAGATAGGACATTCTTTCATGATCCAGCTCCATATGAATAACTTGGCATAAATTAGCATCCATCAATTCCATAACCAAATACCTGAAATATTTTTTTTAAAGTAATTATCATCCATTCTATTTCATGCATACACATTTCAAGCTATCAGTGTATTTTTTTCAACATAAAATAATTCCAGTACAATAGGTGAGATAACACAGGCTTAAAATTATAGTATAGGTAGTCCTTGCTTAATTAACACAATTGGGACCAGCAACTCAGTCACTAAATGATGTGGTCACTAAGTGAAATATCACATGACCATGATGGCTTTCTGACATCATTTCCTATTCGGTCATTAAGTGAGGAAACACGTGACCATGACTCGCAATTTTCCTTCTGGCTTCTCCATTGACTTTCCTTATTGGAAGCTAGCTGTGAAGCACACAAATTGCAAAAACATGACTGGAAAATGCTACCATATGACTTCATAAGTCCCTGCTGATTGTAAGTGCATGAATCTTGATCGTATGATTACGATCGTATGATCGTGTGATGGCCGTAGGTGTGAGGACTGATTTTACTTTTTCAGCAGCACAGTAACTTTGAATAATCGCTCTACAAGGTAGTCATTAAGCGAGGACTACCTGCATGCTTATGCAGAAATCATTTTAATCAAGGATTGTCATAGTGTTTAACAGTCAGATATACACCTTTTTATTTTATTTTAAAATCAAATAGAAAACATTTAGTAAAATGGAACAAAGAACAGAATATTACAATTAAAATGAAATAGTTGATTAAAGTGTTAAACTTGAACCGTTTAAACTTGAACCATTGAATTATTAAATTTTTCTCCATAGCAACAACTCTGTTAGGTCAGGTGGGTCAAGAAATAAAGACTAGCCAAACTCACCCAATAAGCTTGAGAGTAGGCTAGCAGCTGGATCTTCCCAGTGCCCATTCAATACCTTAACTATATGACATTAGCTTAAAATTTAATAAACCAGGAAAACAAATTGGCAATAGAAGAGCATATTTTAGCTCAGGTTTGAAGGGGGTCCTTGGTGATCTCTGAGCATGGTTGTTTTTTTGCAGACCAAAACTAAATAAACACCATCAGTGCTAGTAGAGAGGGGCCATTAGTATATACACTGAGGGCACATATACACTTCCCACTAGCACTGATGATGTTACTAGTTTGGATAATGAAACATCTGCAAGAAAACAACCAAGCTCAGAGGAAACAAGCTGAATTAAAAAAGCAACATATAATTCATGTGTAGCATAGCAAAATGCATTGTATCACAATAGCTCAATCAATTTTTCTGGGGTAAGGAAAATGGGGACCAAAAAAGTATTTTCCAGTACTTTTGTGGACTGGTCTCCCACTAAAGACTGGAGTGACACCTACAGCATTAGCATTTCTGAAATAGGACAAGTCTTTTCTGGACAATGTTGAGAGAATTATTGGAGAGGTGCTGTCTGCTGTTACAGCTAAATTTACTATTGTTAGTTTCTGTTATACTTTGTATTTTTATTGTGGGTTTTTATTTTTATTTAATAAGAGATAAGATAACCTTTATTGTCATTTTTTTTACTGTGGGCACACTGAAACATATTAAAAATGAAATTTTGTTGCCTGCTCTCAAAGGTGTACACATACATAACACACATATAAACATGCTATATACAACATATGTATATACTTACACCTTTACATATAAGTACATATAAATATTAATCACTGTCCATCTTGAATACATAGCTATAGTATGTAGCAGTGATGCTTCCAAAGCAGACTGTAATGCAATATGACAGGATGCTCTCAATCGTCCCTCTATAGCAGTGGTTCTCAACCTTTTTAATGCCGCGACCCCCAACCGGTCGTAAGTCGAGGACTAAACCGGTCGTAAGTCGAGGACTTTCCCTGCCCGGGAGCGCCGTGCATGCGTGGTTCCGCCCCCTGCGCCGGCCGAGGTGTAGCTGGCAAGCGGCAGAGACGGAGCAGGCCGACCACCAGCTGGCCCAGCTCAAGGGAGGTAAGGCACCCGCCGGAAAAGGGGAAAAAAAATGGCGGACAGCCTTGCTTGGCGACCCCCATGAAATGGTCGATCGACCCCAAATGGAGTCGCGACCCATAGGTTGAGAACCGCTGCTCTATAGAAAGTGGTAAGGACAGGGGAAGGAAGATGTACTTCTCGCATGCTATGCTGAAAATGCAGGAGCTGCTGTACCCGCTTCACCAGTGTCTCACTGTTGAGTGACCAAGCCAGCCTACTCGTTAGCTCCACACCAGAAATTTGAAGGTGTTAACCATCTCCACAAGTCAATCATTTATACATAGAGGAGTGTGGTTGTGCCTGCCTTTTCTGAAATGGACAATGATCTCTTTAGTTTTTCAAACGTTTAAAACTAGGCTGTTTTTCTTACACCAGTTCAGCAAACCTTCTACCTCCTCCTTGTCATCTTGAATACGGCCCACTACTGTTGTATCGTCCGCATACTTAACAATAAGTGGGGCTGCCACAAAGAAGAGGGAATCAAGCTATTCTCCAAAGTGCCTGAAGGCAGGACAAGAAGCAACGGATGGAAACTAATCAAGGCGAGAAGCAACCTAGAACTAAGGAGAAACTTCCTGACAGTTAGAACAATTAACCAGTGGAACAACCTGCCTCCAGAAGCGGTAAATGCTCCAACACTGGAAGTTTTTAAGAAGAGACTGGACAGCCATTTGTCCGAAATGGTGTAGGGTTTCCTGCCTGAGCAGGGGGTTGGACTCGATGACCTCCAAGGTCCCTTCCAACTTTATTATTATTATTATTATTATTATTATTATTATTATTATTATTATTATTATTATTATTATTATTATTATTATTATTATTATTATTGAGAATTCTTTGGATAACAACTACAGAAGATTAGATAGATAGTTAGATAGATAGTTAGATAGATAGATAGACAGACAGACAGACAGACAGACAGACAGACAGACAGACAGACAGACAGACAGATTTTTTAAATTGGCATGTTGTCCATAACAAAGTAGAGTATAGTTAAAACAAGAATGTGAACTATATACCAAACAGGTTATTGTACCTCCAAAATCAGTTCCAATATGCACTTTAATGGGAAGAATCACTTGTCTTATTACCATTCTTAGCTGAACAAATTAGATAGATAGACAGACAGACATACATTTCTCATATTTACTGAAAGATCATTAAGGATACATTAGGAAGCATCATATGTTGAGCTAATTATTGGTCAAAATGTATATTTATGAAAAAACAATAAATTAAAAAAACTTACACATCTTGAAATTCTTCTAATGACTTCTGTGGTGTAAATACATTTAATAGACTAATTATCTGTAAAACCAGAAGTCAGAGAGAAATAAACAAAATTAGCACGATCACAAAATTGCACAATGATGATGTAATAACCAGATCATTCAGTAACTATTAATATGAAACATTCTGGGAGTGCTAAGATCAAAGAATATTACAGTATAAATATTCTAAAATACTGAAGTAAAAATGCAGAATAATCAAGTATATATGAGTTTGGGGGGAGTAAGAGTCACAAAACCATAAAGAGCAGTCAAGATGTTATTGTCTAAACTATTTTAATAAATGTATACAAATATTGGTTGCAAATTTATGAAGCAAGTCAATGGACCATTCATTCCACTTTCAGCAATGTCTGGCAAAATTAATATATATGGTAAATAGATTTTTATGAAAAATTTGAACGTTTTCAGTTTTTTCTAATATAATAATAGAACTTCTGTGTTTCAACAATATTATCTCAATTTCTTATATATAGTTTTATATGGCTGCACTGAACATATAATTATATCTGAAATTTTACAGTTGAAGTACATATTAAAGAAAAAAACCTTTCAAACAGCTTTCACAGTAGATTTATTACAAAGTGAAACAAAAGCTAAGGTAAATAAAATTATTTTCAGGATAATAAATTCTACACATTTCTCATCTTATAGAAAGCAATTTCTATAATTATCATATTTCATTAATGTTGGTAAAAGGTTTTAATGCAAACTATTAAGATTTGCTCCATTACATTACCTTAGACTGTAATGACAACTGACAGATACATTTACTCCAAAACTATAATGTGAATGTTTTCTATTAACACTCAAATCTACAAATATTATTAAGCATTAAACTTCTGTCCTTTTTTTCCTTTGGTGCTTTCAAGTCAGAGTTAACTCCTAGCAAGTGCATAGACAATCCCTGCAGTTTTTCAGGCAAGATTTCAGAAGTGGTTTGCCATTGCTTGCTTTCTAGGGTTGAGATAGAATGACTGGCTCAAGCTTTTTATTTTATATAAAAGCTTACTTGTATAATTTCACACGTCAGTATAAGCAATCTTAAAAGATAAACACGGTAAGCTATATGCTATTAAAAATATTAAAATAAATGAAATTACCAACAATGTAATTCAAGCTGCTGTGCTAACATGCCGTATCAGTAATTATGCCAAATAAGCCTAATGCAGGAAATGGTTGAAAATTCTTCAATAAAAACATATGAAGGAAAATTAAATATTGACACTATTGTTAAATATTTACCACATTCCCAGATTATCTATCCATCCATCCATCTATAACATTATTTGGTAGTCATGTGGTTTCAATATATAATACATATATATCAATATATGCTATATTAAATTTACTCACATTTTTGTGGTTCACACACTTCAGCAGCACTAGTTCTCTGTAAGCTCGTTTTGCATGGGTTTGATTCTGAAAAGGGCGACTTAACTTCTTTACAGCAACATTTATTCCAAGGACGGTATCAAATGCAGCACTGAAAGATTGAAGCAGCAACATTCTAACTCAGGTTCTTTGAAAATAAGACTAATGTACACACCCCTGGCTCCAAGAAGACACGAGTCGATGAGTTCACAGGTGGCTGGAACAAACTTTGTTTGTTGTTTATGTAACTAAACGCATGCCAGAAGTTCCTTGATTAAATCTAGCCATCTGTGAACTCATCGACTCGTGTCCTCTTGGAGCCAGGGGTGTGGTAAGGGTTTCTGACAGAAAGTCAGCTCTCCCGTTTTTCTTTTTTTTCTTTTTTGTCCCTACCCATTAACCTTGGTGGGCTGACAGCATTTTGTTCAGGTGCTGGGGGAATGGCTGAGGGTACACAGGAGACGGGGCCTGTGGGCGAGGGGCCGAAGCAGCCGCGGAGCCGACGATCATACTGTCACGCTCTGCCCGTTGACAGGCCAGGTAATAAAAGGAGAGGGAAGGTCTGTCGGCGCAGGTCGCTGGTCTCCTCCACTGCCCCAGACGCTGTTCACGCCCCCTTCCCCCCGCCCGTTAGTGTCGAGTCCACAGAGCCTTGACACACAGTGTTTGCTACAAATAAAAGATGATGGCTCTCCATACAAATAACCCTACTAGGTTTCTTTGGGATTAACCAAGAAAAGATAGGTGCTGCCATTTCTTTGCCTACTCACCAAACAATGCCTTGAGCCCCAGATCCAATAGGTTTCAATTGCTGGTAGCGTTTTAGTACAGTGAATGTTGAATCTGCAACTTGAACACTGTAAAACTGTGTGTCACATTTATTCTCGCTCATGTTGTAGTGTCATGTAGTCTTTGTCTCAGAATTGGGCAGTTCTCAGGATCTGTGTGAAAAGAATTTTTGAAATGTGAAACATCTTTTAAGATAGATAAGATAACCTCTATTGTCATTTTTTACCGTGAGCATCCTGGCACACATTAAAAATGAAATTCTGTTGCCTGCTCTCAAAAGAAAGTATATATCTACCAAAACACATACATAACACACATAAACATGCTATATACATACATATATATACCTATACCCATACATATATATATTAATCACTGTTCATTTTGAATAGCAATAGCACTTAGACTTATATACCGCTTCACAGTGCTTTACAGCTCTCTCTAAGAGGTTTAGTCAGCATATTGTCCCCAACAATCTGGGTCCCCGTTTTACCGACCTCAGAAGGATGGAAGGCTGAGTCAATCTTGAGCTGGTGAGAATCGGACTGCCAAACTGCTGGCAATTGGCAATCAGCAGAATTAGCCTGTAACACTGCATTCTAACCACATCACGGCTTTTAGTGGAAAGAGGAAACTTGAGAGTTCACAAAGTTGATACTATGTGGAATAAAACTGTGACAGAAACTAGATGTTCTGCTTTGGATACCACAAAGTCTCATCCCAGAAGGTAACAGGGAAAAGAGGTCATGAAGAGGATGTGTAGTGTCCCAGACACTGCAGACCCTGCTCAAGCAATGCTTATATGCTATGTCCTGGATGGAAGGGAGTGAATTACCAATAATCTTTTCTGCCATTTTCACTAATCTCTGCACCGCATTCCTATCCGAAGCGGTAATCCTTCCAAACCAGACAATAATGCCAGGATGCTCTCAATTGTCCCTCTACAGAAAGTGGTAGGGACAGGAGAAGGAAGATGTACTTTTCTCATGTGATGCAGAAAATTCAGGGGCTGCTGAGCCCACTTCACCAGTGTCTCACTTTTGAGCAACCAAGCTAACCTACTCATTAGCTGCACATCTAGAAACTTGATGCTGCTAACCACCTCCATAGGTGAATCATTAATACACAGAGATGTATGGTTATACCTGCCTTTTCTGAAATTGACAATGATCTCTTTAGTTTTTCCTATGTTTACGACGAGGCTGTTTTTATTACATCAGCTCACCAAACCTTCTACCTCCTTGCAGTAAGCACCCTCATTGTCATCCTGAATAAGGCTCACAACTGTTGTATCATCCGCATACTTCAGAATATGGTTGGTGGCAAACCTTGTACAATAGTCATGGGTCAACAGAGAGATCAGTGGACTTAGGACATAGCCCTGAGAAGAACCTGTGCTCAAGAAAACGGTGTTAGAAATATTAGTCCCAACTTGCACTGTTGTGCAAGGTTTGCCATCAACCATATTGTGGCCTATCAATAAGAAAATCAAGAATCTAGTTGCACAAAGGAATATTAAAGCCTAAAAGGCCCAGTTTGTCTACTAGATACTGAGGAATGGTTGTATTAAATGCCAGACTGAAGTCGACAAACAGCATTCGCACATGAGTATTTCTTTCATTTAAGTGTGCCAAGCTCAGATGGAGAACAGAAGAAATAGCATCCTCTGTAGAGCAATTTGGACGGTAAACAAACTGAAGTGAGCCAAATGCTGTAGGGAGGCTGGATATAATAATGTCCTTTATCAGCCTCCCAAAACATTTCATAATGATGGATGTAAGTGCAACTGGATAGTAATCATTAAGACGTGTAATCATAGACTTTTTTGCAAAATAATGGCAGTCTTAAAACACGATGGGACCGCTGCCTGTTGCAATGAAAGATTGAAAATATCTATAAGAACACAAGCCAATTCATCTGCACATTCCCTAAGAACGTGCCCGAGGATATTATCTGGGCCTGCTACTTTCCGAATGTTAACTTTCCGCAATTTTAAAATCTCAAGTAAAATGTTTATAAGTACAATGAATCAACTAAAGATAAACCCTTTCTCTTTAATGGGTAATAGGTATCACCCCTCCCCATACAGTACTCTACCTGTCATCCTATAAGGTGCCCCCCATACATGTGAATTGCTTAAAGTGCCCTTGAAGAAAACATTTACAACAAGCTGAACTGCCCAAGTGGTGACAGAGATAAGACTCATTTAGGAACCTGTGGCCCAGTAAACCAAATTGTTTCTATTCACTGCCCACATCTCAAAGATTCTACTGTTTCTCCCCTTTCTTTGTTTTGCCATTGCCTTTCTGTAATGTAGTGGGCCAAAGATATATAAGCCCTGATTCTGCTTTTGTTCACGGCTGCTCAGCAAAGTATCAAAGCTTTGCTAGGAGCCTGGTATAGACTGTATTATTGCTTGTAAGCATACAAATAAAATTATATTGTATCTTCAAAGTGATATGATTGCTATAGGTGAACCTACTTCTGGCCACAATAATTTAATATTATGATTTGGATTTGAGTCAAGGTTGCTGTGAAAATACCATGTGAATTTGGATGACCACTCTAAAAGGTTGATCAGTATGACACAGTACTGAAGTGAAATTTTAGCATCATTGTAACCACGTGTTTTCCAGGATAGAGCAAATTACCTATTATGCATAAGGCTAATATGCCCCTGAGCATTCTGGCTACTTGATATCATAACAAATCTATCATACCATGCTAATTATTATAACAAGTAAATGCTTCTGATGCCATTAACACGTGTGTGTGTGTGTGTGTGTGTGTGTGTGTGTGTGTATGTGTGTGTGTGTGTGAGAGAGAGAGAGAGAGAGAGAGACAGACAGACAGACAGACACAGAGAGTAATGATAAATTTTATTGTAACATTTTAATTCAAGGTTGGAAAGAATTTGAATATTTAATTAATACAGTACTGGTATTGTTCTTGATCTGATTGGATGTACATACAGCAATTTTAAGGATAAGTGTGCTAAATCACAGAGATTATAGCTTTTCTCTGCTATTACTGTCTATATAGTTGTATCCGTTTTCTGAAATATATGAAAACACTGGGCAGATGATGACCATGTTCTATTAACTAGGATCACACATAAGGCTGACAAGGGAGAAATTAAATCACAAAGCTCTCATAGGAGCAGAACTGATTCACAAAAATAGATGAATGAATCACAACATTAACTATACATCTAGTTGGTTGGCATCTGAAGGCAAATATGTTGATGTTAACTTGTTCCATCCCAGAGTGAAAGGTACTCTTGGTACTGGAGCTGTACTGGAGTTAAAAAATAAATTTGGGAAGAAGAATTTCTGCAAACTTCTAATTTCAGCATTAATTTTTGAATGAAAAAAATTAAACATCTATATTAAATATTTCTAGTTAAAATAAAATCTGGATCTATAAAGGTAATCTATTAAGAAAAAAATCCTCTCATCTTGCATTAACAAGCCTGGAAGCCAACAGCAATCAGTGAATCAATTCTTACTGCTCATTGCCATTATTATTAAGAAAGATGGGTAATAAACCAACATCAAGATTAGTTAATCAAATACTGTTTCATGATTTTCCTCATTCCTTGAAGAACTTTCAAGCAAAAAACCAATGCCAAACTCTAATTCAGCATTCTTACTAAAGATGGTAATACATGAAATACAGTGTGGAAAATAGTACAACTGTAGTTTTCAGGTTTCTTTATAAATAATGTAGTATGACTTTTGAAATATTTTAAAAATGATTATCACAAAAAGTTAAGTTCTAATAATATTTATAAAGTTTAAATCCCATATTCTTAACTCGAATATTTTAAGCCTTTCAAGAGAATATTATTGTACATCCATCCATCTATTTGGATATTTCCTTGTATTAGAAAAATTCAATATTTTCTAATGGATAATAAGGTTAACATTCCCCAATAGTCTAGGAAGCCATTTTAGGACAGAAATCTAATATTCTGAAGAATTTTTTATAAGGATAATTTAACATTACTTTATCACAAATAGAAATGTATGATAAATTAACTGAAAATAAATCTATACTTCTTTGCTGTTAGGACCATCCAGATTTTTGTAGTTCAAATCTGATAATGCTAGATAACCTCTTGCTATGGCTCCTAAATAAAACTTGTGAAATTATTGCTTTGGTTTGGAAGCATATTTGTCCTGAATTACAGTAAATATTAGCAAAAAATAAGTAAAAGTGATTCTCTAAACAATAGCTCATTAACCAAACATTTCCTGTTCTGTGCAATAATTAACAGACATTAAAGTAACATTTATATTAAAGCTCAGATCCACACTGTCAAAGCATTTTATCAGGGCAAATAGAACTGCTAGTATTTTTTAATATTAATTACCAGCATGCAGTTCCACAATCTCTTGCTGCAACATTCTGTTTTTTTTCCAATTGATAAATATATTTACATGAAAAACTGCACGCAAAGAATCTACATATTTCAACTGAATGGACAGATAAGGAGTTCCTCTTGTTCTCCTGCACATCTCAGATTTATTCCACAGAATGCAAGAGAGAGGATTGAGAAAACTGATCTGCCAGCAATGCCTGCAAACTTGATGGATGGACACAACTGGATATAAAGGAAGTTTTTCCTTCATAAATAAATAAGGTTCAGATATATTAATACAAATGAGCAGGAAGAGACTTGTGTGTCTCTACTTTGTTGACAATATTTGCATTGTATGTTATCATCCAGATCAGGATGAACAACGCTGTCAAAAAAGTCTTAATGGGGCAAAACTTGTTTAACAATTCAAACAACAGAAGCAACAGAAATTTTGTATGATCCGTAGATGCAGAAATCCTATGCACTAATAAAAACAATTTTAGAAACATTGATGATTTATAGCAGGGATGTGAAACTGCCGGCCCATGGACCGGACGCAGCCCATTGCTGGCAATGGCAAAACCGGCCCGATACGTTGCGCGACGTCACATGATGTCGCAAGTTTGACATGTCTGATTTATAGCATTACGCTCTCATTCCATCACTAGAGGTGTTATTTATGGGCTGCCCTATAATCCTTATCTAAACTCAAATCCAGAACCAACTTTCAGTAGCAAGCCACTGAATCACAAGGAATAGTTTTTAAATATGTTGCTAGTCATAGACCAATTTTTTGTTCTGTAGTAAAGACAGTA